CAGGACCCAGCTTGCTCTAAAGCAGGGGCCCCCCTGTACAGCGTAGCCCAGGACCAAATTCTCTATAAGCAGGGGCCCTCCTGTCACAGTAGCCCAGGAACCCAGCTTGCTCTTAAGCAGGGCCTCCTTACAGCATACCCAGGACCTAACTTGCTCATAAGCAGGGGGGCCCTCCCGTACAGCATACCCAGGCCTACTTGCTCTATAAGCAGGGCCCCCCTTACGCATAGCCCAGGCCTAACTTGCTCTTAAGCAGGGCCCCTCTGTACGCATAGCCCGGGCCCAGCTTCTCTTAAGCAGGGCCCTCCTGTACAGCAGTAGCCCCGACCCCAACTTGCTCTATAAACAGGCCCTCCTTACGGGGTAGCCAGACCTAAATTTCTCATAACGGGCCCTCCTGTACAGCAGTAGCCCAGGACCTAAATTGCTCATAAAAGGGCCTCCTGACAGCATAGCCCCGGACCTAACGTCTATAAGCGGGCCCCCCGTACACAGACCCAGGACCTAACTTGCTCATAAGCAGGGGCCCCCTTACACAGTAGCCCCCGGGCCTAGCTTGCTCTATAAGCGGGCCCTCCTGTCAGCTAGCCCAGGGCCAACTTGCTCTATAAGCAGGGCCCCCCTGTTTTCAGCAGTACCCGGACCCAACTTTCTCTATAACGGGCCCCCCTGTACGAGTACCCAGGCTAGCTTGCTCTATAAACAGGGCCCTCCTGTACACAGTAGCCCAGGGGTAGCTGGCTCAAAAAGCAGGGCCCTCCCGTACAGATACCCGGACCTAACTTGCTCTATAAGCAGGGCCCCCTGTAAAGCAGTACCCAGGGGCCTAACTTGCCATAACAGGGCCCCCCTTACAGCAGTACCCCGACCTAATTGCTCTATAAGCAGGGCCCTCCTGTACAGCAGTAGCCCGGGCCCAACTTGCTCTTTAAACAGGGGCCCCCCTGTACGCATAGCCCCGGGCCTAGCTTCTCTAAAGCAGGGCCCTCCGTACAGCAGTAGCCCGGACCTAACTTGCTCATAACAGGGCCCTTGTACAGCAGTAGCCCCGGACCTAACTTGCTCTTAACAGGGCCCCCTGTACACGTAGCCCCGGGCCTAGCTTGCTCTAAAGCAGGGGCCCCCCTGAAGCGAACCCCGGGCCTGCTGGCTCTATAAGCAGGGCCCTCCTGTACGCAGTGCCCCGGACCAACTTGCTCTATAAACAGGGGCCCCCCTGTACACAGTCCCAGGGGCCTAACTTCTCTATAACAGGGGGCCCCCCTGACAGCAGTAGCCCCGGACCTAATTGTCTATAAGCAGGGCCCTCCTTACAGCAGTACCCAGGCCCCAACTTGTTCTATAAGCGGGGCCCCCCTGTACAGCATTTGCCCCCCGGGCCTAACTGTTTTTATAAGGGGGGGGCCCTCCTTTACGCAGACCCAGGGGCCCAACTTGTTCTATAACAGGGCCCCCCTGTACAGCGAGCCCAGGGCCTAGCTTCCCTTTTAAAACAGGGCCCCCCTGTAAGCAGTAGCCCGGGCCTAACTTTCTCTATAAGCAGGGCCCCCCCCGACAGCAGTAGCCCAGGGCCAACTTCTCTATAAGCAGGGCCCCCCTGTCAGCATACCCAGGGCCCAATTGCTCTTAAGCCCGGGCCCTCCTGTACAGCAGTTTCCCAGGGCTAAATTGCTCTATAAGCAGGGCCTCCCGTACAGCAGTAGCCCTGGACCTAACTTCTTTATAACAGGGCCCTCCTGTACAGCGTAGCCCGGGCCCTAACTTGCCTAAACAGGCCCTCCTGTACGCAGTAGCCCAGGACCTAACTTGCTCTATAAGCAGGGCCCTCCTGTACAGCAGTACCCCGGGCCTAACTTGCTCTATAAGCAGGGCCCTCCTGTACAGCAGTAGCCCAGGACCTAACTTGCTCTATAAGCAGGGCCTTCCTGTACAGCAGTACCCAGGGGCCCAACTTGCTCATAAGGGAGGGCCCCCCTGTACACAGTAGCCCAGGGCCCAACTTTCCTACAAGCAGGGGCCCCCCTGAAGCAGTACCCCGGGGCCAAACTTTCTCTATAACAGGGGCCCCCCCCTGTACAACAGTACCCAGGACCTAACTTTCTCTATAAACGGGGCCTTTCCCGTACAGCGTAGCCCAGGACCTAAAAATTGCTCTTCAGCAGGGGCCCCCCTGTACAGCAGTAGCCCCCGGATCTAACTTGCTTATAAGCAGGGCCCTCCTGTTCACAGTAGCCCCCGGATCTAACTTTCTTATAAAACAGGGCCCTCCTGTACAGTAGTGCCCAGGACCAACTTGCTCTATAAGCAGGGCCCTCCCGTACAGCAGAGCCCAGGACCAACTTTTCTCTAAAGCAGGGCCCCCCTGTTAAAAGAGTAGCCCAGGGCCTAACTTTCTCTATAACAGGGCCCTCCTGTACAGCCCCAGCCCGGACCTAATGCTCATAAGCAGGGGCCCCCTGTACATAGACCCCAGGGCCTAACTTCTCTATAAACGGGGGCCCCCCTGTACACAGTACCCAGGGCCTAACTTGCTCATAAGCAGGGGCCCTCCTGTACAGCCCTGCCCAGGACCCAACTTGCTTAAAAAGCAGGGCCCTCCTTTTAAACAGTAGCCCAGACCTAAATTGCTCTTAAGCGGGGCCCTTTCCCGTACACAGTAGCCCAGGGGCCTAACTTGCCTATAAGCAGGGCCTTCCCGTAAGCATACCCCCGGGCCTAACTTTTTTATAAAAGGGCCCCCCCGTACGCAGTACCCAGGACCAATTTTCATAACAGGCCCTCCTGTACACAGTACCCGGACCTAAATTGCTCTAACAGGGCCCTCCTGAACATAGTAGCCCCGGACCTAACTTGCCTATAAGCAGGGCCCTCCTGTACAGCGTACCCCGGACCCAATTGCTTATAAGCAGGACCCTCCCCGCAGCAGACCCAGGGCCCAACTTGCTCTTAAACGGGGCCCTCCCCGTACAGCAAGCTCAGGGCCTAACTTGCTCTATAAAACAGGACTCCGTACAGCATACCCTGGGCCTAATTGCTCTATAAACAGGACCCTCCTGTCACAGTAGCCCAGGACCTAATTTTTTCTATAAGCAGGGCCCTCCGTCAGTAGTACCGGGGCCTACTTTTTCTATAAGCGGGGCCCCCGTACAGTAGTACCCAGGACCTAAAAGCTCTAAAGAGTGCCCTCCTTACGAAAATAGCCCAGGACCTAACTTGTCTTAAGCATGGGCCCCCCTTACGTATAGCCCAGGACCTAACTTGCTTATAAACGGGCCCCCCCTTACATAGTCCCAGGACCTAACTTGCTCTGTAAGCAGTGCCCTCCTGTACAGTAGTAGCCCAGGACCTAACTTGCTCTATAAGCAGTGCCCTCCTGTACAGTAGTAGCCCAGGACCTAACTTGCTCTGTAAGCAGTGCCCTCCTGTACAGTAGTAGCCTGGAACCTAATCTGCTGTACAAGTGGGGCCCTCTTGGAATTCAGAATGTGTTTTTTTTTCTTTTTATTGTGGGGTGGGGGGGGGTCACTTTACCTTGCTGAAAAATATCCAACATTAATAAGGGAATAGACTGAAAAAGTTACATGGCTTGTATTGCGACCCCTGAATGGGTCACAATGTATATAATGTATATTACCTTTTCATATAATTTTATATTGCTTATATTTGCGATAAAAGCTAAATCGTAAATATATTGTTTTATATTATTATTTGACTTAGTTATATTTATTAGGTAGGATGTAACATTTGTATATTATTAATCAGTGCTCATAGTTCGTCTTGATTGTCTAACTACTGTAATTATCGCTCGCCGCTCGTTTCCCTGCCGGCTTCTCGGTGTTGCTGGGCAGTAACAACACGGAGTAATCACAGTGATCAAGAGGGGGTGATCACACCTTGCCTGGAGTAGTCCAGAGCTGGTTGCTCACTCTCTTGTTGGTTGGACATGCTTCTGACAAGATGTGCCTAGCTCTCCCTTGTGTGCCCTTGTTGGAAGATCGTCTCTGTCACTTTCTTGTTGTTGGTTCTGTGGAACTCTGTTCACAGAACATTGCCTAAACTTAGTGATTTTCGACGTTGTACTGAGGTTGTGTGTCACATAGACACTTGAGCAACTCAGGTCCTGAGCTGTAGCTTCTGATTTAATTTGTACTGGTATCTGTGTACTGTCACAGTCGGGTATTTTCTTATGCTGAACTTAGATTCAGTAGTATGGGAGTTTTGTGACTTTTGTGGAGGATCTGCAGATGGTCCCTACTTAGTGTCGTTATATTATCTCCTTGTTCCTGATTCTGTGTCGCTATTGCTTGTTATATTGCTGTTCGACTTATCAGTCGGTTTTTTGTACAAGCAAGCTGTTCTGATTGCCAGGTTGGTCAAGAAGTTAGTTTATTGTGAGGACTTTGTCAGTCACTTGTTTAAGTCTAGTCGAGTCATGAGACATAGCGAACTACTTAGAGCACTTACACGCATACACACAAACTTGTATATATTTGTATTATTAAATGTTAATGTACCAGACGGTACTTAAGACATATAAATGTGATATGTGCCTTCAGTACAATACTACTGTACACGAGAGAAGTGATTATCTTGATTATGTTTATATTAAATTTAATTTATTTTGATAATATACTCCTAGACTTCTTTATTAATAAGCTTATTAAATTTTAATTTCTTTAGTTAGTAGCCTACCAGTTGTAATCCTGAAGCACTATTAAATCTTATTGTATTCTAATGGATAATTGGACAAGGATACTGACTAATTGTTACGAAAACCCAGTAACAGGCTGGATGCTAGAAGGGCAGTCCTTTCTAGTATTACCTGGAGATCTCTAAGCTTATTAAAAATCACGTTTTTTGTAACAGCTTGGGATACCTTTACATTCTCTTAGCTATTTTTTGTGATGTGAGCAACACTGAATATTTTATATGAAGCATGATTGTATGTCAATTATTGTATTACATATTGTACTTACTGTATTCCCGTTCGAAATTTCCAGGATATACGAAAGCATCTGCAGGATTCTCGACCGGATTCCGTGACAGATGAAGATGATTCTGTGACAGATATAGATGACTCCATGCCAAGATGATTATGAGGAATATGCTGATGAAAGAGAAGCATCTGGTGACTTTGACTTGATAATTGGGGAGAGCGATGCAGACCAAGATGATGACAACACCACATCAGCGAGCAAAGACCCAAGTGTGTTTGACAATGCATACAGCACAGAAGACGAGGACAGTAGCTATAACGATACTCTTTTTAATTCAAGTGAGCACCATGGTGAAGAGGAAAGTTATACAAGTGAAGAGAGTGACACCGGCAGTGATGATGAAGACGGAGATATTATCATCGGAAGAGACTACGATATGGGTGAGGATCTTATTATTTGTTTGATGCTGTATGGGGGGTCCTTGGCTTATGATGGTGATACATTCCAGTGAACCCATCATAAGTTGAATATGAATACAGTGGACCCCCGGTTAACGAACTTTTTTCATTCCAGTAGTATGTTCAGGTGCCAGTACTGACCGAATTTGTTCCCATAAGGAATATTGTGAAGTAGATTAGTCCATTTCAGACCCCCAAACATACACGTACAAACGCACTTACATAAATACACTTACATAATTGGTCGCATTGGGAGGTGATCGTTAAGCGGGGGTCCACTGTATATGCTAAATAAATAAGTAAATAAATAACTACTTTCAGTGAATAAATAAATAATTACTGTAACTAACAAATTACCAGTATTGAAAGGTAAATAAACAAATACAAGTTACGGACTTGCCGCATTCATGCTGGGTAATTATTTTAAGTTTCATCTCCACAGTAATTACTTTTGCACCAACATTAAGTTGAAATATTGTAAGTTGAACCATCATAAGTCGAGAAGCATCTGTACGTTGTTGTTGTTGGAGTACTCATTGGGGAGAGTCGCTTGACACTGGTCTTTGTTATATGGTGACTGGTGCTCTTTGCCCTATGCTGGGGATGTGGTAACTATGGATAAGTAAGACACATGATTGCACCTACACAATAGGCATCTTCAGAGGAGGCAGCAGATGTGAGGATGTAATCAGTCTATTATTATTATTATTATTATTATCACACTGGCCGATTCCCACCAAGGCAGGGTGGCCCGAAAAAGAAAAACTTTCACCATCATTCACTCCATCACTGTCTTGCCAGAAGGGTGCTTTACACTACAGTTTTTAAACTGCAACATTAACACTCCTCCTTCAGAGTGCAGGCACTGTACTTCCCATCTCCAGGACTCAAGTCCGGCCTGCCGGTTTCCCTGAACCCCTTCATAAATGTTACTTTGCTCACACTCCAACAGCACGTCAAGTATTAAAAACCATTTGTCTCCATTCACTCCTATCAAACACGCTCACGCATGCCTGCTGGAAGTCCAGGCCCCTCGCACACAAAACCTCCTTTACCCCCTCCCTCCAACCTTTCCTAGGCCGACCCCTACCCCGCCTTCCTTCCACTACAGACTGATACACTCTTGAAGTCACTCTGTTTCGCTCCATTCTCTCTACAGTCTATTACTTTTGTAAATCTTGAAAGGAGTGATACAGAAACCATGTCTAATGAACTCTGTGGTCTAGTCCCTAGACCCATTATTTGCCTGGAGTCTATCTGGAGGTGCCTGCAGCCTGGTCCATAACCAGGCTTTGCAGTAGATCAGTGTATGATCAACTAGGCTGTTAACACAAGCCACACACAATCCTACATATGAACTATAGCCTAGCTGGTCAGGTATTGACTTTACGGGGCTGTCCAGCCCCCTCTTGAAGAGAGCCAGGGGTCTATTGGTAATTCTCCTTTTGTGGAAAAAGACACTTATGTACAGTTCAGGACATTTATTAAAGGAAACATTTCGCCACGAGTGGCTTCTTCAGTCCTAATACAGAGAAAACTAAGAAAACACACATATATATAGTGGTGGGAGTCAGGTGAGGTGAAGCGTGGGTAGAGGTGGTAGTAGTAGTAGTAGTAGTAATGGAACTAAGGAGGTGAGGTTAGAGAGGGACCTGCTGGCATCAAGTAACACCAGTTCCCAGGATGGGTAATATCCTCTTGCTTAGTAATTTTGAAATACTGTAACTTCCGGATTTTTGCTTTATAGTGTTACTGACAGAAATTAGTGCAGCTTCAATGCATTTTCTCCGTCTTAAGTCGTCTTCTTTAATAACTAGTTTAGCTTCATTGAATTTCATGAGGTGTCCAACATCGTCTGGTGTTACTTGATGCCAGCAGGTCCCTCTCTAACCTCACCTCCTTAGTTCCATTACTACTACTACTACTACTACCACTTCTACCCACGCTTCACCTCACCTGACTCCCACCACTATATATATGTGTGTTTTCTTAGTTTTCTCTGTATTAGGACTGAAGAAGCCACTCGTGGCGAAACGTTTCCTTTAATAAATGTCCTGAACTGTACATAAGTGTCTTTTTCCACATCTTGTCGGTATCACCATACCATTTCCTCAATTCTCCTTTTGTATGCTGTGAGGCAGTTGAAGAGTTTTGGGACCCTGACACTTATTGTGTTGTCTCTCAATGTACTCATGACACCCCTGCTTTTCATTGGGGGATATTGCACCACCTGCCAAGTCTTTTGCTTTCATAGGGAGTGATTTATGTGTGTGGATATGAGACTGGTCCCTCCAGGATTTTTCAAGTGTAAATTATAATGTATTTTTCTCACCTGTGTTCCAAGGAGTACAGGCCAAGGGATTTTAAATGTTCCCATTAATTTAGGTGCTTTATTGAACTTATACATGCAGTTAACATTCTTTGTATATTCTCAAGGTCTGCAATTTTGCCTTCGTTGAAAGGGGCCATTAATGCACAACAATATTCCAGCCTAGAGAGAACAAGCAATTTGAAGAGAATCATCAGGACTTAGCATCACTAATTTTTAAGGTTCTCATTATTCATCCTGTTATTTTCCTAGCAGATGTGGTAGATACATTAATGTGATCTTTGAAAGTGAAATCCACTGACATTATCACTCCCGGTTACTTCTTATTAATTTTTTGCTCAGTTGTGTGGTTAGAATTTTATACTCTGGTCTATTTTTTATTTAACGAGTTTTCCATAGTGGAGTACAGCCTCTCCTCACTTAGCGACATACTCGTTTACCGACGGCTCAGGCTCACGATGGGCTCTCTGACCTAAACAATGTATATTAGAGATGATTTCCTCAATTCTGTTTATTACAATATACACTGCTGTATAAACATTTAAAAATATACCAGAAATGTTATACATGGTGCAAAAATGACATTAAAACAATATCAAAGATGGTTAAGACAAACCCACTACCAATCTGGCTGCTCCTCACTTAGTGATAAATTCGTTTACTGATGTGATCTTAGGAACGGAACCCCATCATTAACCGAGGATAAGATAAGACAAGATAAGATTTCGTTCGGATTTTTAACCCCGGAGGGTTAGCCACCCAGGATAACCCAAGAAAGTCAGTGCGTCATCGAGGACTGTCTAACTTATTTCCATTGGGGTCCTTAATCTTGTCCCCCAGGATGCGACCCACACCAGTCCACTAACACCCAGGTACCTATTTGCTGCTAGGTGAACAGGACAACAGGTGTAAGGAAACATGTCGAAATGTTTCCACCCGCCGGGAATCGAACCCGGGCCCTCCGTGTGTGAAGCGGGAGCTTTAGCCACCAGGCCACCGGGACTGTAATTGAAATTTCTCCTTATTGAATTTCATATTGTTTTCTTAGGTCCATTTGAAAATTTGGTTTCTATCCGCTTGTAGATTTGCAGTGTCCTCAATGGGTGACCCTTTCATGCATGGGTGCTGGTTGCACCCATGCATGAAAGGGTCACCCATTGAAACTAATGATGGCCACCTCAAAAAAGAGAAGTGATCGAAACATGCTTAAAAGGAAAGCAGGAGAAAAACAATTAAAGTGAAAAAAGAACTCATTAAAACCATACCACGGGCGGGATTTGAACCTGCGGTCAGAGAGTCTCAAAACTCCAGACCGTCGTTACAAATTGGGAAAGTGGGACATGTGTGCTGGACCTGACCACTCACTATGGTATGCGAAATCCATCATATTGTCCACATTGAAATATTAATAAGAGGCAATAAAAGGGGCTGTTATAGTGAAAGGAGTGAAAATTCTTGCTGTGAAAAGGCCATTCGAAAAAATTTTGTTAGGTGTAGATTATCAAAAAAGAATCGGCCAGTGACAGTATTTCTGAAACAATGATTTGTGAAAAAACAAAGGAATTATATAGTGATTGTAGGCAAGACACCCCAGGTAACAGTGCTGTAAGTAATGAATTTAATGGACTAGTTTGATACGATTAAAAAGAGAAGTGGGAGTCATAGTGTGGTAGGTATGGGGAGGCTGCCAGTCATAACAAAGATAAGGCGGAAAACTTTGTTAACCCGTAAACGGTCCAAACGTATATATACGTTTTATGTGTCCTACATTTAACATTGCCACAATAAGCCTGAGTCGCCTAGACATGTGAGAATGGGTGTGAGCACTCACTGTGCACCATATTAAAATAATTGGGGATGCCTGGGTACCATATGCTCTTTTTTCCTATTAAAAAACAACAATTTTTTTTTCCTCAAAAAAGTTGGGGCAGTACGGTAGTGAACGTATATATACATTTGGACCATTTATGGGTTAAGGAATTTAAAATCTATGTAGACATTGAGGAATTTATTCCTCGACAAGTTTTTAATTATAATGAAACTGACCATTTTAGAAAATAAAGCCTAAGAGAACCTACATCACACAAGAAGAAAAATTATTACCAGGACACAAGCCTATGAAAGACAGGCTGACACTCTTGTTGTGTGGTAACATTAGTGGGAACTGCAAAATTAAACTGTTGCTAGTCTACCACTCTGAAAACCCAAGGGTGTTTATGAAAAACAATGTGATAAAAAATAAACTCAGTGTGATGTGGAAAGCTAATACAGTGGACCCCCGCATAACGATCACCTCCGAATGCGACCAATTATGTAAGTGTATTTATGTAAGTGCGTTTGTACGTGTATGTTTGGGGGTCTGAAATGGACTAATCTACTTCACAATATTTCTTATGGGAACAAATTCGGTCAGTACTGGCACCTGAACATACTTCTGGAGTGAAAAAATATCGTTAACCGGGGGTCCACTGTAGTAAACTTGGATAACGCGGCAGTTTTTGACTGAGTCGATACATGAAGTGTTTGCCCCAGTGTGAAGCAGTATCTTCTGGAGAAAAACTTACCATTAACCCATAAACGGTCCAAGCAGATCTACGTTCACATGTGTAGTTCTACAAAAGTAGATCTATGTTTTTTTTACATAT